GGGAAGAGAGGAAGATCCGAAATGACACAACATTTGCTTTCTCAGCCAAAGTCTCCCAATCAGTAGTGCCGATGTACTCAATTCTCAGACCTCCAGCGATACCTCCTAAGATAATTGGTTCGGAAAGCTTCCTGAGATAGAATTGGTCAACATCAACGAAAGTATTGTGCAGAAATAGGAACATCCACTCACAACAATAGCACTGAAGACATATGGGCTATAAGAAGTGACTTTGGCAAAGGATTCATGAGATGATTGAATCCGTTGTTGGAGAGCCAGCATGTGTGGGTCCGTGAGACTGTGTGTCTTCAGTTCTACCTGCATTGATCGATAGCCTCGAAGCTGTTTTCTAAAGGCAAAGATCACTGGAGAGCTGGGATGATTGTGCCCCAGTGACTGATTTCCCAATGACTCCAAGAGGCCCATCAGCTTGTATCTCGACAGGGTTCTGTTGCCCCGACATTTGCGAGGAAGCCTGGTTCGAGTTGGGGGTTGAGAGAGACGACATAGGGTCCTGAAGATGTAATTTATGCTTTAAGAAGAGAAATCGGTGTAAACAGGTCCAAGAATCATTCTGGGAATGACAAGTTGAGTCTGGGTATGAGATCGGGATCAAAATGTTTGGCCGATTGAAGCGTGGAAGAACAAGTTGGTGAAGCAAGAGAGCCACTGAAGAATGGTATAACCTTTAACTTTAGAAGTCAAGTTGTAAAACCAAAGTAAGACAAACACAATCCGCCCCGGAGACATAGTCCAATGATGATACATCAAGGAAAGAGAGATGGGATAGCCCTTACAGTGTGGGGGCTGCAACATAGATTGCTCCCTCCAAAAGTAAGGTCTGGAATTCTGATTGTATTTGATCCATGTCTCAATGCAGACTCATTTTCTCCTCCAATACATGAGAAGGATAAGACCCGAGATAGAAGGCATAAATGGGGCAATAAAATAGGCAATGAGAAACACCGTTGCCAAGTGTGGGACTCTGCCAACCGGTCACATGAAAGCGCCAGTGAGGTAACTCCAGAGAGCTGAGGTCTCGTCAGAACTGAGATCGACCGCTGCAAGGTTCACCTGCATAGAGTCAAAATCATACCCAACATTAGGACTGGTGTGGACAAATCATCAGTGTCCAGAACAGGACATCAGCAGCGGCATAGGTAATCCCATGGGGAAGAAGCAAGGTTGCCCACCAGCAGTGATTGGGGCTGGCTATGCTGGAGCAGCGGTGGGTGAGGAGTGTTGCCACGAAGAGGTGCCTTGTAAGGAAACTTACGGAACCCACGATGCTCACTGGTGAAATGGGCACTGGTGCTTTTGGAGAACCTTCCACATTGCGACAGTATTTAGCAACCACCTCCATCAACAGAAATGGTGTGTTGGGTCATCGGGAATTTCTCTCTTGGAGGCATGAACAAGCTTCTTTGATAAAGTTGTGAGCTTGGAGTTGGTCTCAGCACTCAGACCGTGTCCTTGGGAGCACCTCGCTGGGACATGCGGATCGTTTCTATGAATGACAGTAGCTCAACAATCAAAGCAGGCGCCTCCACGAGGAGGGTACCGCCACTGGCTGCCCCACTGTTTCATCCTGGGTGAGACTCCCAACTTTTGCCCCTACTGCTTTTGCAATTGCTGCCTGGAAGGCTTTGCCTGGGATCCTTGGATCCAAGATTTTGGGCAGGCTCATAAGTCTGGTTGATGAGACCCGATAGAGGCATCCAATCATTCAAAGTGTCGAGTGCTTTCCAATTGTTTGTTCCCATAGTTCTATCAAATCCGTTGATGTCACTCTTGACAACAAGCTCATGGACTTTGGATCGAAAGTATGGACAACCACAGCCAAGGAGACCTCTCAGGATGTGCTGGTTAGTTCAGGCATGGGATCACTGGACTGAAGTTCAATCGAATCTCTTTGATGAGCTTCTTGCATCGACAACATAATGGAACATTTTCCCCAGGGAACTAGGTGATGTCCAAGTGAAGAAGCTTGGCTTTGAGGTCTCAATCTTCTGAGAGAAGGCGTATATTTGAGAAGAGCCAAGAGAAGCTGGGGCCCATTGTGCTGGCTCGAGGGACATATGATTTAAATTCTTCCTGGAGTGCATCAGTGAAAGAGTTCAAGACAGCCTTCCCGACCAGGCAAGGTTGTTAGATCATACTGGCAAATAGATGTTGCTTCAGATCCCCATTGGCATCGATGAGTCCGACCCCATTGACTGTGAGGTCCTGATGCCATTTTTCCATCATAGACTCTGAGACCTGTCCAGGAGCAGTGAACATGTTGATTTTATTAATAGTGTTGGTATTAGAGATCTCCAACAACAAGCTGGAAGACCCTTCCATTCCATGCTCTGTCATCATACTTCAAAGGCGATAAGAGAGGCCAGCACATGAGACCCAGAAGCATTGGACTCAGTAAGAGTGGAGAATAGTAGACTGGTGGAATCCTTCAGTCCTTTCTTGCATGCCAATTCGTTAAAAATATAGGGCTGGCCAGTGTGGTGTTGCATGTTTTCAGATGGTCGTCACACTGGAAACCCCTGAGGCATGAGGTTGCTTTTGCAGGTTCCTTTCCAGTCCAACTCTGGGCCAGTTCCTGTCCAGGCTCCAGTATGGTTGATACCTCCAAGCCGAGGGGCTTCTGTAGGCTTGGTCTTCTCTTTGGTTTCCCCAATGTGCTGGAGGAGCTCCTGGAATAGAACTGCGGTCAATGGTGATGCAGTCATGATTGGAGGATCAGATGGTGGGCTGATTGGATCAGATTCAAGGAAGGCTTGTCTGAACCCTTGTGGACTGAACAAGGTATCTTTGCTGATGCTGGCCGCTGCTGTTGAAGATGAAGATGCTGAGGCCGAGGAAGCGTCGTCAAGGACCATCAAGATGAGAATCGAACAACGGAGTGGCAATGGCATATGGCAACAGTGGAAAGAGTAGAAGGAGCGGCAACAATAGGAGGAGCGGCAACAAGGGGAGGGGCGCGGTGGATAGCTAGTCAATCGAGTAAATCGAAGCTGGAATTTTTGAGTAGTTGGATCCGACGTCGTGGTCGAACTTGGCGAATCCTTCGAGTTTGAATTCAACCGACTGGATGCGCAGCGCCAATAGTAGTCCCTCGTAGACAACGACCGGATGCGAGCGAATAGTAGTCCCTCGGTAGACAGAGTTCAATGACAACTGCCACAGGCAACATCGACATCGCGAGCGATCGATCGCTTCGTACAATCAGTACCGATGTTCGAATTCTTCGAGTTGTTCGAATTCTTCAAACGACAAACTGCAAGCCAGTTCAAACGACCAATGCCAGTCCTGGGTAAGCAGAGACCGACTTTCGATCGACCAACACCAGGGGATGATCGATCGCTCGTACGCATGTTGTTGTTCGTGTACGTCGTGTACGTCGAGTTTGAACTGTTATCAGTGTACGGGTATGTCTCCGTCGAGTTAATGAAAAAGTGAGGAGTTGACGCATGACTCAGATTCGAACCGGGTGAACTGATGGGTTTACTGGAAGCATGACTCGACCCATGATACACAAGCCGAGCCTTATATATGCAGTCAAGCCTCATTTTTCGATGAATTCTGTTAACTCGGATTCTGTTAACTCGGCCGATCGATCGATCCATGCTGGAGCTGAGCATGGTGGTAGAGATAACAGTAGTAGTAGTAGAAGCAACAGTAGTAGTAGCCATAACAGAAGCAGTACCAGTAGTGGTTCCTACATCGATCGAGAAAAGGGTGGACTCCCATAGGGGTCCATTGTATAATATAGGGTCCTCATCGCGATTTCGATCGACGACAGGATGAGATGAGTCCTTGTTGAGATTACGATCGTCAACAGGAAAGGGATCCTCATTGAGATTGCGATCGTCAACAGGATAAAGGAAAGGGGGATGATCAAGATAGGACAGGCCACAGATGAAGAATGCAAGAGGAAACTCAGGAGCAGTCTGCATCAAGGAGTAGCGAAATCCACTGACACCCACAAGGGATAGACATATAAGAATAAGAATGAGTAACATCTCATAACCTCGCATGCTACCATGCGACAATACCATTGTGCATTGACTAGTCTAAGGATCTAAGAGATGTAAAGTTTGTATTTCCAAATAAGTGAGCAGTTATTGATTATTTTCTAGAATAAGCCTGCTAATTGTAAAGCTGTAAAGCTGAATTGTAAGCTGTATCCCGTCGCAATGCTCAATCATGGTTTGGTGAGGCAACCAACGAAGTTTTTGCGCTGCTGTTACGAATTGGATCCAGTTCTATGGTAGGCGTAAAAGCACGACCGAAGCCTCTGGCTAGCTATCCATGCAACACCATTGGCAGCCACAGGGGTCTTCTGCTGTCGTGGGCTGTTTTGCCATGGCATTCTACACCACAAGTAGACTACATGGAGCTATTAGTTTTGCATCGTGCCAGGTACTGTACCGGTACTAGTAGTTGGTTGGTTAACTACTAGCTAGCTAGTACATGTAGTAGACTCGAATCTACTGGCAAAAACAGCTAGAGCCCCCAAAATTGGCCGCTAAACGCGGTTATTAGCCAGTTAAGAATCGACCTAAAATTGTGACTACTAAACAAACAGCTTGGTGCAACTCCCATGTGCTGCTGTTCGGTCATCGTTCCCAGAATAGACACCCATCCATTTCAGCGGTGCATAAATCCTCGACACACCGTCAACAGAACAACGCCCATCATATATTATCTCACAAAAGACGGAGGTCAAGGGTCGCATCCACTGGTGTTGTTGTCCTGAACGCCATCAGTGACAAATACATGCTACGAGATTGATATTGAGGATACCCTTCTAGACAGCTAGAGTGTTATTGTCGTTTCCGGTGTCGAAAGAAGACAGTTGTTTGCAAATGATGTTCCGGGCAGTGGCGTCACGATGGATGACAGCAATAGTCATGGTATACCCTCTGTTACTGCTGCATGGATCCAACTGTGAGGTATTACACGCATCCAATTCGCATAGAAGTGTTATCCGTGGGGTTAGAATACATCAAAATCAAGACCAAGACCTAATAGCACCACGGCAATTATTGGAGCAACAAGGTGGACGCCATGAGTTCACCGTCTATCAATTCGAGGTGTCAGGGTCTCAGGTTATGAGAGCAGGGCCATCGGATGCGCCATCAGAGATACCCTCCATCTCTCCTTCGTCTCCTCCGTCAATAGCCCCAACATCAGCAACGCCTAGAACAAGCCCGTTTCTGAAGGGAGAAGCATTAGAAGCTGAGGACATGAGCTCGTCTCCCAGTTCTGGTCCCACAAAGCAACTTGTCTTTACTGATTCAGGATACTATCCCCTGCCAGAAGAAACCCTTCAGATTGAAAACAGAGAACCAGGAGACTCGCAAACACAGCCAGGCAGTGGTGCTGACACTGAGATAGAGAATGAATATTGGCAACAGAATCCGGGATCCCCGCCAGATCAATCTACTAATGAACAAGAAGAGGAATCCGATCACTTCGTTCCCGTAGAAGGAAATGAAGTCACTTCCCAGGCTGCCATCAAGCCAACTTACTACTATGTGGATCTGAGGCCTTTCTCAGTCTTTGTGGATGCCAGTAGAGACTTGACCACCGATTTAGGCATTCCTCTCTATTTGCTGATTGAAATGCAAACGACGCTGCAGAATATCGTGGATGTCAAGATATCCAACTTGACCATTCAAATGGGGGTTGTCATGAACGACCACAAACATCCAGAAATAAGAGGCAGGAACGCAGATCCCACCCATTATCACTGGAACCAACTCTTCTTCCACGGCATGGCGCAGTTTGAAGACAGTGTGGTTTATCCAGCCGTGACGGTGCAAAATGTCCAGTCACTGGTCCTGAGTAATGAAGCCAACTTGCAAGAATTCTGGGATACTCAGGGGCAGGGAGAGACCTATCAAAACCTGGAACTGAAGAACATCACCATGCTACCATTCCCAGACGAGACTCCAACACCAGCGCCGACGCCTGTTCCATCAACAGTTCTTACACAAGACCAATCTACCAACACTAGTTCAAGTCAAAGCCAGTCGGAGAACACAGAGCCAGAGGAGGAGCGATCTTCCAATGTCTGGGTGATGGTCCCACTGGTGATTGTCTTTCTCTTGATTTGTTTCTGCATCATCCTCTTGTGCGGGCGACTTCAATATCTGGCCAACAGAGCACAAGACAAATACAATGAAAAGTATGGGTTGGACTACAATGTGTACGGTGACCGAGATTTGGGGAAAGATATCTTCAAGGAAGAATACCTGAACTCGGAGCATGATCACGAGCACTCCAATAACGGGCTATCCGACAGTCTTCGATCGATCGACTTCCTAACACGCCCCATCAGCTCGATCAAGTCGTCGGTTCGACGAAGCTCCAACAAGGTCACCATCAAGGCGCCAAGCAATGACGAGGCATCGACAGAGCCGGAGGATGATGAATTGCACGTGAGCTTCCAAACGCAGGAAGCCAAACACGTAGCACCGACAACGACACCAAACAGTTCTCAGGTCAGCCACAACGCGCCGATGGCCATGCTGGCTGCTGCTCTTCCATCACAGAACAGTAACAGAAGTATATCCGAATCGACCTCACAGCAAGGGTCGCAAAGGGAGATGTTCTCGGATGAATTGGGTAATGATCAGGGATTGGCCCCGCCTGCAGTCCCTGAGCCCGAGCCGCCTGAACCTGAACCCGAGCCAGAGCCCGATATTGTAGTGACGACATTAGCTGCTGCGGATGGCTTGCTGCAAGGCTCCAGAACTAGAGTGGTCAATGAGGGTAACCTCTTGAATTTGTCAGACCACGAGCAGACACCCACTCCGCCACCGTTGCCACGTTCAGTGGACATAGATGCCGAGCTTGCGAGAAGAGCAGTGGTGAGTGAGACACCAACGAGAGACAACAGAAGCCCTATGTTGATTGATTTGGCTGGAAACGAAATCAGCAGGAGCAACGGAAGCATTGGAAGCGGCAGCGGCGACTCATCGAATTACTCATCGAGTTACAAACGCAGAGGCAGCAAGAGTGGGACGGGGAACTCCAGCTGGAGGGGAGGCGGCGGCACACGCAGCAGCTTCAAAAGCATGGGCTCTTTCGTGACAGCGCTTGGCAGTGGGGACGACAAGAGCGGCGTCATGGGGAATTCCAGCGAAAGGAGGAGTACCAGAAGCAATCGCAGCATTCGAAGCGACAGTTCGACGACTTCCTTTTATTCCGCTCAAGGTGATCTTGTCTAAAAATGCAACAACCCTTCCTATTGGTTGTTTTATGGGCTTTCAGTATATGGGGAAGAGCTTTCGTCTAGGTTTGTAGCCTAAACGAGGCAGACTACTCTATGTGGTGGTAAAGTAACTGCGTTACGTATTCTAAATGTACTACCGTGTTCCATTGTAGTTCAATTTTGACTATCCCTGTGCTTTGGGTGCCTCCTGGCATTGCTCTCTTCACGAATTTTGCGGCGTCAGACAAGCGGGGGCATCTCGTACCTTAGAATTTGCTCATGGATAACGGTGAATGTCATTTTTCAATCAAGGTCATGCAACAAGTCTTCTTCACACGTTGTTCGGTCAGAATTAAAATGGAAGGACACCAGCTAGCTAGCCAGCACTTCGCACCGTCGGTTCATTTCTTAGCAGCGACCCTCCAATTCAAAGAGTGCCCAATCCTAAGCCCAATCCTAAGCATGCAGTAAAGCTTTTGTATGTGTGCTGTCACTCCAAAAACCTGAGTATTAGTATGTGTATTTTTCTGGGATTAACCTGTTGCAGTTGGTCCAAGAGTTTGTCTAGGTCTTGCTCCTGGCGTTGGGCCATGCCTAGGTCCCGGTGTCCGGCTGTGTTGAAGTCCAGGACGGTAGGGCGGCGGTGCATAGGTCCCTGTGTTGTGTACTAGTAAGGCCTGGAACTGGGTATGGAAATGGGCCAGAAGTTGGACCAGGAGTGGGGCCCGGTACAGGTTCTGGAGATGAGCCAGGTGTTGGCCTTAGCTGGTGTTGATGCCTGGTGCAATGGAAATGTACAGGGAAATGGGTGTGGAATTGGGCTGGGGCGTGTGGGTTACTTCGGATTCATGTTTGGTATCAGTGCCTCCAAGCTGAATTTGAATGCTTCACCAAGCTCTTGGATTTGGTCATGCAATCAGTTGTCAATCATAGTAGTATTGTGCTGATGACAAGTCAGGCCCTCTCCCCCACAGCATTTTTCAGAGTGGTCATGCATTGCATCCGAAGTATCTGAACCAACCGTTACCGGAATCATTGACACTTCTGATCTCCTCCTGTCAGGATGATCTACGGTACCGGTATGTTCTCGCTTTCCCCAGGTGCTGGGTATCTTTCTACTCCCTTCCTGCCAGGGGCATCATTCATCTTCATGATTTTGTACCTACCAGCCTGCGCAAACCAAACCGAGGCCTGGCTTTGGCTAGAATGAGCTTTGTCCCCCATTTTTCAAAAAGTGAGCTCTCAACAGTCACCAGCCCGCACATCTAAGTACGATTTCTGCCGCCATGGCTTCGAGCGGCACCGTGACTACTCATTCGAGACAAGAAAGAAAAATGGTACAACCGTACGGTACGGATGTATGTGAGTGTGACAGTAATCGACGAAATCTCTTGCTCTTATTACGTTTGTAGATCGAGTTGCTGTTGTTTGTTGGGCGCAGTAGAGTAACCATGAGATATCTGCTCATCGCATTGTACCTTAGCAGCATTGTTGCCTTGGTTAGTTCCTTAAAGCAACGGCCCAGGTCCAGCAGGCAATGGAGACGCAGGGAACGGGGTGCCCAAAAACAACGGCGAATTCAAGAAGAAACGGAAGTGCCAATCATTCGCAAGGGAGGAAAAGGCAGCACAGGCTACGATGACGATTGGACAGACAATCAAGGAGTCGCTGGAACCGATGATGGTTGGTTGGATGATAATGTAGTCATCAACAACGCCCAAGCCACTACAGAACCCAAGAAGGCCATGGAGAAGAAGAGTCAGTATGATGATGATGATGCATCCCCAGAGGACGATGACGAAGAAGATGATGACAATGTCATCGAAAATGCACAGGGAACAGGAACACCGACCATCATTTCAAATGCAGCAGAAACCCCGTCGCCCACAGTCGTAATGCCTGAGGAAACTGATGAACCCACTATCCAGCAGGTCGAAGAAACCGATAGTCCCACAGAATCACCAACTCTGGAAAGCACAGAACAAGGCACCACCGATACCCCAACTATCCCGCCTTCCATTGCTGCAGTCACAGATCTACCCACTGCTAATCCAACAACGGAATCTCCCACTGAGTCTCCCACCGCTGAGGTAACCACGGAATCTCCCACAGTTGAGGAAACCACTGAGTCTCCCACCCCTGAGGAAACAACCGAAGTCCCCACTGCAACTCCTACCCAGACTGAGACGGCAACGCCCACCAGCCCACCTCAAACTGATGGAAGTGAGACTGGTGGAACTGACACGGAAGCCCCATCTACCCAAAGTATTATCCCGGCGCCTACTCTAGACACTGTAACAGACTTTCCCACGGGACAGCAGGAACAAGGAAATGCATCCAGTCCTACCACGCTATCCGGTGATGGAACAGTTGGTGGTGATGGTGGTGCCATCTTTGATGGCGAAGACTTTTACGGACGGCTCTTGGTGCCGTTTGCTGTGTCGATAGAAGGCGATCCCGTGACCAACGATCTAGGCATCACTTCTTGCCTACTCACTGACATGCAACGGAACATGTCCAACCTGATCAACCTGGACATTTCCAACTTTACCATTGTACACTTTGATGACGAAGATGGGGATGGCTACAACCGCTATGATCTATACTTTAATGGCTCGGGATGGCTCATTGGGGCACCGGTCTACTCACAAGAGTACTTTCAAAGTGTTCAGCTCAACATTCTGGGTGACGGAGTTGCCTTTTACCAGGACTGTCTGGATTCCCGATTCCAAGGCTCGGATAAGAGCTTTACAGCCTCGGCCCTGCTACATGACCTCGCGCCACCGTCGGATGATGCCGACCCCAATGCTGCCGAATCCGAGGCCAAGAGCCCCGAAGACGAAACCAAACTGCGAACCAACCTCGTCATTGGATTGACTGTGGCTGCCGTGGTGGTGGCACTCTTGGGAATTGTGTTTGCATCCAGAGTGATACGAGGCAACGAGGACGGAGCACCACTGCTGGATGCCGCCGATACGGATAAATGAGTGTTTGTGCAAGGAACCACAAGGCATAATTTGTAACTGTCGTAAAGGCTGGTTGGTATGCACTGACTGCATCCATCAGTCAGTCGCAAGCTTTTACAATGGCCATGCGTACATTCGCTGGTTGTTAGCAGACGGCCCTTTTCAATACCTACCTTTGTGGTCGCTGGCTGGTTGTCGGCTCTGTTTCACCGACAAAAAACTAGAGCAACCAAGATGATCTGCTCATCATGAAGCGGCGAGCTACAGTATGCAACTTGCTTGGTCAGGCTGTACACGACGAAACGTCAGAGTACAAATCAGACTGCAGCAACCATTGAATTTATAACAAATTGTAGCAATATATTATATCCACGGTTTGGTTTCTGTAACGGTGTCTCTAGCTTTGAGTGCAACTATGTGACAAAGCATAACGCAGATAAAGACTACGGTACGAAGCATCAAGTAGCTTCAGAAGTGTCTATTGTATTTGTTGGTAAAGACAACCGGCAGTCGACGTGAGAACTAGCAATCGTTTTCCGCAATCAGTTTGTGGTTTTCATCGCTTCCCTGTTTCACGGTGAGCGGCAGCTTTTTGTTTCGTTTCGTGGTTTCTTTCTATTTCGGATACAAGATATCATAATGACCTGGGCGGTACAAAAGAGTCAAGCATGTTTTGGCATTGTCGGGTCCAAACTGGTGTGTGGAAAGTTTGTTGTTGCTTGGAATGTCGTGACCATCTAGGTAGACAATGGCGACCTTGACTTCGAATGCCTCTGCCAGTGCTAGGCAAGTAACCATGGTACACTCTTGACCCATTGGTTCTACAGCCTTTTGGCAATAGACATGGACATCCACGTATGCATCTTCCAGATAAGGCAAGAATCTGTCGGGTTCAGCTTTGAGCTGTGTTCCCGATAAGACTCGCATGTACCATGTGCAATAGTCGCTCGTGGAATTTTCTTCCAGCAATTCCTTGTGAATAGCTTGTTGCGTGGACGACTTGTCGACAATGGAGGTGATTAGATCTACCAGGCTTTCGTGGAAGATTTCAATGGCTGTTTCATCGTATCCACCTTCTTTCACCACCTTCTGGGCAGAGTTTTTGGCTAATAATACAAAATGGGGCAGCAGCAAAAATGGGGTAGCCATCATATCGAAAAAGAGGAAAGTAGAAAGAGAGAGATAATGATTGAGCAAGCAACATTCCAGCGAGTCGAATCTCATCTTCTCAAAACAACAACAACATACCAAAATTCTGAATGCGTGTCAGTTCGTCCTTGTCGGCTTGGAATAGCTTTTCGCAGAGTGAATAGAGAAATGCTCGATAGTAGCAATTCCCGTCGCCTCGAATGGTCCGTACTCCTTGATAATCTTGTTCCAGAATGGAGACTCCCTTGTCAAAATTGCTTCCCGCCTCGTAGTTGGCCTTGACCCGCAACTGAGATACCGGCATTAGGTCGGATGTCAGTGCTTGTTCTTGACGAATCTCCGCGGCGATTGTCTCCATTTGATCCTGAGTTTGCTTGAATTTTTCATGGTTCACTTCCAGGTTGCTGGTATCACTATTAGGATTATCCGCCATGGTGAAGTAATTATAAAGTAGATGTTGTGAGCAGCTAGTAAGAGGACTACAAAAGCAGCAGACAAGGAGCTGGATGACCAAGTGACAGAGTTATTCAGTCGAGTTGTTATCTGTGAAGGTGGTTATTGTTGGTTGTGGGCAGAGGTACTAGTAAGGCTCTCGAGCCGCGATCATTTTTTTGCAAAAAGATTCGTTGGGATTTTAAAGCCAGCAACAGCTGTAGAACTGCAGGGCGAGGTGGGACGGCTTCCCAGCAGAGGTGCCAGCAAACCTGCTTGCTACTTGCTGCGATGCAGCTACTAGCCACCGATACGTACGGATAGAGTACAACACCCAGTTACGTGTGCCGTACGTCCTATTCTTTTAAAAAATTTTGCTAATGAGTCAAAAGCAAGACAATGTATATGTATATATCCCTGTTTACTTCAAGTGAACAATGTGGCCTTCAGCTGCAATCAAGACATCACGTGTCGCCATGACATCAAAGATGCAGTCATCTTGGTCTACCTTCCAGTGTGCGCAAGCCTTCTCAGCTTCCTTGCGCATGGCATCGGTTCCAAGACGGTTTCCCAGGTGGCTTTTGGGACGGATACACTTGGAAGGGTATTGAGGATCACGGGCTTCAGAGAAGAGCATGGGCTCACTGTCAAGGACTTGCCATTCCTCAGCAAAGGTAGTTGCATCTGCCATGAGAGTAACTCCATCACGAGCAAATCTCCTGCCAGTGGCCCAGTCACCCAACAATCCCAAGCTGCCCTCAAAGAAATTGGTGTCACCAGCATGAACAATAACTGCAGGAAATCCATTCTTGCGAGTGTGCAGATCAATCTTGGCAACATTGTGGCTATGACGGCCTTCATCATGGAGACGGATGCTGATGGCCTTTCTGTCACGGCGAACAATGAAACCTCCCAAGTGGGTCTTATGGTGCTTGTGGTTGGGTTCAACTCCCTTTCCATTGATCAGAAAAGAGTCCACATCATTCTCGAATTCCAAAACATCAGTTCCAATCTGGACAGCAATCTTGGAGATGTAGCTAAAGTACTTGACACGAGTAGTACGGATATGGATCCTCAATCCTTGTCCTTGGCTAAAGCCAGGACTGTCCACGAGGACAAGATCACACTCTCCATGGTAGTCGAACTTGTCTCCAGTCCAGGTCTTGAAGTGCGGATCTCCGCTTCCACTTCCGGGGGTTGGCTTGTCAACAGGAGGGGTGGGGAAACTTCTTGGTTCGGGGGTTGGCTTCTTCGTAGTGGGAGCCTTGGTGGTAGGAGATTTGGTTGTGGGGGTCTCGGTGGTAGGGGTCATCGTTGTGGGAGGCTTGGATGTGGGAGGCTCAGAGGTAGGAGCCTTGCTGGGTGCAGCAGTTGGGGTTCCACACTCGCAGAGGCCTGGTATGAGGTGGACATTCATCTCAGCAATGATGGTCTGGTTGGTGATGACTATTCCAGCATCAATGACCATGACAAGTGGAATTTGCTCATTGGGGTCTTTGCAGTCTATCTTGTAATCGCCACCGTTTGCAATGGCTTGGTCTCGAACCCATTGGGCAACACATTCTTGCCGGAATTTGACATAGTCAGAGTCAGCTGTTCCATTGACGTCGTCAACAAGACCCCAGATACCTCCTTGGAGATCGACCCACGTAACTTTGCCTTTACAGTCAACACCTTGCACAACTTCGTCAACAGTGTCCCCGACAGCAATATTGTTGATCAACCAAGCCAAGTTGGGCAACATGTTATTCTTGTCAACAGCAGCATCAGGAATTTTATCAGAATAGGCGCTGTAGATGTCTACACTCCAGTCTTTGGTTCCAATAAGGCGATCCCAATCAATGCACCAACCGTCTGCGATAGTTTTACCTCCATAGCGGGGGTCATCAAGTGTGATGTTGAAGTGTGCATTCTCACCAGGGAACTGCTCCACATGAACTGTGACCTCTGAGGGAGATGTGGCAACATCATGGTTGACTTTGCAGACCTCTTGCAAGTATCGCCCCTGGGTGGGGTCCTTCTTGGTTGCCTGGGTGCGCAAGGCGGAGGCAGAGGCCAGCAATGCAAGGGAAAGCAGCGTAAAGTACTTCATTTTTTTGTAATGCTGGGGGTGGTCGAAGTGCATTACATGTAGTACTATCGATACTCTTTCAAATGGGTTGTTGAAGGTGGTACCACTACTGTTAATATTGTTTCAGCGTCGGGCCGGGATCCTGTCTGGTACCGATATCTTTCCACCAGATGCGGAACAACTGGTGAGACGAGTAAGCACGAATCAGAAATCTTTTTGTTGACCTCATGCTTAAGAAAGTTGTTGCATCAGCAGGGGACAGCACTCTGCCTTCTCTTCGGAGGTCCGAGATCAGCGTCTATCTAGAGATCATCACTTGGTTTTCATCAGCAGCAACGTCAAGCTTTAGGGATGCCCCCAACGAGTGTAATCAGTAGTATCCATATATGTGTTACCGGTTGGGCTGAAACACAGTTACACTTCATTTGTTCTCGTAAGACAACCTAATCAATTCGATCGGTCTCTCGTCCTTCCAAGCATGTTGGTTGCACAATCATGCTTGTTTGTACCGGTACCATCATCAAGCAGGGATCATTCAAAAGGCAGTAGTCTATCCATGCAGCTAGATCTATCTGACCCTCTCAAGCTCTCGACGAAAGGGGCGTACCGGTACGTGCTTGACAGAGACATAGGGTTTCGAGTATCCACGGCACCATCCCACGGCAAGCGATGGATCTTTCTTGCGCGTTTCTGCGCGAAAGATCCAACGAACTCACAATTGACTCGACTTGCTCGACTCGACTCGTCACTCTGGCCTCGAACCAATGCCATTGCTCTGTGAGGTTCGATCTTCTTCCTTTCCACTCAGCCACTCAAACTCCAACCAACAGCAGTAACAAGGGCAAAAAACTCGACAAGGTTCTATCTCGTAGCATAGCACGTCCTATCTCACAAGCTACCTACATATCTAGCTATTCTGGTAGCCAGAAGCCAATTGAATTAATTATCTTTCATCATGAGCGTGAATACAGCACCAATCAAGTGGGCCCAACGAACGGACTCTCTATATGTGACCATTGCTCTGTCAGGTGGGTATAATTGATTTTGGGTATCTCGCTTGGTTTGGTCTCCTCGATGTGCGGTATCATGATATCTCACTGTTGCCGTTTTATTTTCTTAGACGTCAAGAATGAGACCATAAACCTGACAGATAAAGAGTTGCACTTCAAAGGGAAAAGCCAGGACAAGGATTACGAGGTGAGTGAGCACCGACAGTACATGATGTAATTCCACAAGAAGAAATGAATCGAATTTGCCGTTTCCTCACCAAACACTCTATATATTTGACAGGTGAACATTGAGTTTTTCAAACCTGTTGACGCGGAAGGATCCAAGTACAATGTGCTACCCCGTTCGATTCAAATGCACATTATGAAAAAGAAGGAGGATGAGGATGAAGAATTCTGGCCACGGCTGCTCAAAGACAAGGCATTGGAAAAAAATCAAGTCAAAATTGACTGGGATCGATACGTAGACGAGGACGAAGAAGAGGAAGGATTTGATACCAGTGCCCTGGATGGAGGTACGTTAACACAAAATGAATCGAATCGAATCAGCAATGAAAAAATAATTGACAATGTCTTCCAATGCTAACTGCACGGTGTTCCTCTCTCTTTTTCTTTAAATATGTAAATGAATTTTGTCAGGAATGGGAATGGGCGGCATGGGTGGCATGGGCGGCGGCGGTGGTGGTAAGCAGCCGTGGTATCTATGTAATGATGACGTGAAATGTGGGATATTTGGTAGCCTTATCTTCTGTTCGCTCTGTTTTGGAATCTTGTTTAGGTTTCCCTGGAATGCCAGGAGGCATGCCTGGAATGGGCGGCATGGGTGGCATGCCCGGAATGGAAGGTGAGACGAATTCTTTGTACTGTTTATACTTGTCTTTGATCGCTTGGCTTGGCTTTGTTTACTCATGGAAACCTCCCCTCGTCCCCTCACTCAGGAATGGGCAACATGGGTGGAATGGACATGGAAGGTACGTGGTTTGACTGACTTTGCACTTTAATTCCTAGAACTTTTGCCTTGTCTCACCAATCGATTCATTTCATTTCTCGGAACTGCATTAAAACTATTAAACTCAACTAACAGCCCTGATGAAACAGATGGGAGACATGAGTGCCATGGGCGGTGGCCCTCCCACCGGAGAAGACGAGGATGGCGACGATGACGATCTGGATGATTTGCCTGACTTGGAAGAGAGTTAAGCAAGCTACCTCTGCATTCGCCAGAAACAAAACACTACAAACAAACAACGGGACGACAAAACGTTGTGCTCCCCGAAACGAATGAATATAGACAGAATGGAAAAAAGGCGAACAAGTGTTTATTTGCTTTTGCAGACGAACCATTGAACGAACAAACAAACTGTCGAATGAATCCTCAAAACGTCAACAAAACAAAATGTGGATTTTCCGATAGCTTTGGGAGACGTGCGTGGAAGTTGCAATAGAATGAATGGAATCGAAAAAATGGCAAGCGTGAACATTGCATCCGCATCCCTAATACAGTAGATGTTGTTATTCTAGCTAGTGACTCTGTTCCCATTATTTGTGCCTCACGGTGACATGTCTTGGTTCAACGAAACCTTGCGAGACTAATTGAAGGCTTGCATTTTTTGCCATGGTCTGTTTATCGTGCTGTGTGCTATGGTACGTACTCCCTCCTCTTTTGTTTGTTCTATACTGTATTTTACTACATGTGCAAATAATCAGGAATCCACACAGAGTGTGTTCCTTCGGCAATGACAATTTCATCATTGATTCGGAAAACTTGTGTTTTGAGATCGACTTGATGACCATGCTTTCGTTTTCGCACCTCATTTTGTGGGTCGTCATCAGGATCTTCTTCTTCTTTTGCTGTTGCTAATGTATTGGATCCTCCTGTTGTAGCGACCGTGATAACTTGAATTTTGGCTCTGACTTCGACCCCAACAATCAGGGGCTGCAAGAACTGCATCGAACTATTGATAGCAACGGATTTGGGAAAGGCGGCCTCGACCAGTGTCCCCACCAATCCAGAAATCAAGACTGGACTCAATACAGCAGGTCCGACGGGATGCGATCGAATCCAATCCTTGGCCCGAGCATAGTTGGGATCAAAGGAAGCATGGGCTGCCAGGGCTTCACCTCCACAGGTAATCATGGCTTCCGCATTGCATTGAGGGCCAAAGGATCGGCGGATGCTCCCCGTCTTGCCGATTATGTCGTCACCAATTGCAGGAAAGGAAAAGAGATCTCCCACTGGACTCAACGAGTCGTCCAAATCATGCTCATCCAAGGCTGATAAAGAAGACGAACTGGATTTCCAACGACGGTACTGTTCGTTAACCGTTGTTGAGCCAACTGCAGAGGTTGAGAAAGTATTTGTAGTGGTACTACAGATACCCAAGCAACGATGACTTGAAAGACTCCTCAGCTGGCTGCTTGCAGAAAAACGACGGGAAAGGGAGAGCGCTTGATGATAGCAGGCCTTCATTATCTCCTCCTTCCTCTATTTTAAATACCTAGCTAGCCACTGGAGTAGCGGTAGCTAATCGGCTACTGTATCCTTCCTGTCGCCATTGCCGACGGCGGGTGAAGACGGCTGTCAAGGAAGCCGAACGGTGCAGCGATGTGTCAAGGGCCTCTAAAAGATCCAAAAGATCCAGAACATTCGCGAACATTCTTTTCAGACAGAAGGAACGCATGCCTTGTTTAACGTGGTTGTTTTTCATTCGTAGCCTCCTTTGCACACCTTACCGGTTACATTTTAACACTGTTTCAATGGGGGCAATGAAGTGACATCATCTGTTGTCCACGTCGGCACCCTCCCGGTGAAAAAGCATTCCGTCCAATCGCGAGAATCACGGGATGTCATTTCTTGCGCTTGGGAAACTGAGTTGGTGCTTGTTGTAAAGATACCATTATGGTGATGACCATGGCAGCAATGCCGTCATTCAAAAATGCTCCTCGTCGCACTGTTGGAAAGATGAAAAACATACCCTCCCTTTCTTCAGCTCTTGTGGTTGTCTTCCTTTGCTTGTTGGCACCCAGCACCGATGCTTTTGTGGTTAAGACCGAGCCTCACGAGGCAGCAAAGAACAATTACAAAGATACTGCTTTCTCCGCCGGCACCACGACTAGGGTCTCTGCAGTAGCTAGTGGAAGAGAACCAACCGTTACAGAATGCTTTCCTGTGCAGCTCAATGAATTCTTCAAACAGCCAGTCCCCAAAACTCTCAAGCGATCGGTCTCTTTATACTACGAAGGAGAAACACCTGAATCAGATCTCGATTCTGTCACTATTCTGACCTCAGCTCCCAGCGTCCCAGGATGTCCTAGACCCCTGTGGCTGGTCATGCTGGCCAGCCTGCCAACAGGTCTTCTCTGGTATGGCTATTACAAGTTTGCAGTGGAAGAAGAAATGCTGCAGATGGAGCTGGAGAGGGGAAATATGCCTCGGGGATTTGGAGGCTATGGAACACTGGGGCCCTTTTCTTATGGAATGCTACTGGGGCCCATGGCGGCCTTATTTCATGTGCCAGGAGGATTGCATTGGTCCATTCTGGGAGTGGCTTTCATTTACTACACACAGTTCTTGCTGTATGATCGAGTCAATGAACTATTCACAGACGAAGGCAAAGAAGCGCCATTGAACGTGTGGTGGTGTCTACCAATCTTCTTTCCTTTCAACATCATCGTCGGATTGAGACAGGTACACTTCTTGTCACAATACCTTTACGAAAAACGAGGCGCCAACCCACCACCAAAAGATCCCGTTGCTGACTTCTTTCCATTCATTGGAGCTGAACCGTTCAGCTGGCAAGAGTTCCTCTTGACACCACGACTCTGGTGTCGACTGCTACAAGATGTCGAGGGGGTTGACAACAACAAACTACCAGCCCCTATTCGAGAAATCTTGTCCAAGTAGTCTAGAGGACACCATCAGTATATAAGCTTGCATCAGGGAAATTTTGACCAAGTAGAGGATACCAACAGTATACATCCCATCCTGGCTTGCTTACAGAACCATACAAAACCATAAACATACATAACGGTATAGACAACAATTGCACATAGCCTACGCTTCCCGTCTTCATGGTATGGATATTGGCATTATCAAGGCTATGTTACAGATTTAGTATCTCTATACCATACGAGAGAAGTGTCGTAACAGACAAAGAGTGTTTTGCACTTGGCCATTGAGCACCTCCAATGCGGATTGCTGGACCCTGCGGAGCTCGGAGAGCAGCTGGATGAGTTCTCTTCGTCCCTCTCCTTGTCGCTCCCGCTCGTCCGACGCGTCTTTGTTGTCTAAAGGTGGTGGTGTCCATGATTCTTCAATCCCTGCAATCACAGAAGCGTGCAGATGCAGGAACCGATGTAGGTAGGCATTCACAGCTTCGTATCGTTCACGAGATTCGCAGGCTTCAATCAGCCACATGCAGGCCATTCGGAGCAGGGGAAGCCCTTCCTCAAGGTCGTGCATTCCGTTGCAAAGGCTCGACAAGGCAACGTCAATTGCCGATGGGCCGAGTGTGGCAATGTGATCCGTGACTTCCTGGAATCGCCTTGCTTCGTCTTCTGATGCTTTCTCACTGCAACTATGAAGCAAGGTTGCCAGGTGCGATCTGTGGTGACTAATCTTGATTCTCTTCTTGTTGGATGAAGAGAGAATTTTGCTTCCAGCGGCTTTCTCCAGCTCTCGTTTCTTGCTACTAGAAGAAATTTGGGCGTTGTCGCCTTTTGCGTCTTGACCGTCAGTTTCCTCAACATCGGCCATGGACTCATCAAAAGCCGGCGCGCCTTCGTCATCGTCGTCCGACCAAGCAGCCTTCCATTCATCTTCATCGTTTGGAGTTTCTTTTGCCTCCTCTTCAGTACTTTCTGCAGGCTTTGGACCCACGGAGTCGCCTCCTCTCCATTGAAGGAAAAACGGAGCTGATGGAGGCTTCTTGGGTGCTTCCTTGGGCTTGTTGCGTTCCTTAATGAGTTCCAAGTGAAACAAGTTCTTCCAGTGCGCCGGAGGTAGATTGCTGAGTGTGACTAGGCCCTTCTGCTTTGCTGGAGCAGGGAGCTTGTCATCGGGGCTCTCTTCAGCTTCGTTGTCACCGTCTTTCTCGGCGAGAGCCTTCAGCAATTTCGGCAGTTCAGCCTTTTCGACCGGATCGTCGCTCTGTTCCCAAACTTCAGCGATTGGTTTGGGTTCGTCCATACGAAATGGCTCCTCCAACTCTTTGGCTCCATTGACGTTGACGGTCTGATAAAAACTCCTATCACTCCAAATACTCAAGCCTAGCTTGCCCATATGGGATGTCGCTAAAAATTCACCAGTGGGGCTCACTGTGAGGGACGTTGGCGGTGTCTCAAAACCAAGCCAATCTATGCAGGTGTTTGTTGGGACATCCCACACTCGGACGGTTCCGTCCAATGATCCGGTGTATAGAGTTCGTCCGTCGGGGCTAAAACCAATGTCGGAAATCGGCCCAGAATGTCGAGATAGCTCTGCGGTGCTGCCGCCTCCGAATCGGCGCACAATGGAAAGAGTCGTACAATCGAACAAGAGCGTCGAGAAATCTTCGAGAGCGATTGCCGCCAGATCAGAATCTCGAACGTGACAAAGTAGAGTGGCTGGACTGGGAAGCTGGTAAGGACTCTTTTTGTGGGGAGCATGCGTTGCAAAATTCCACAGAATCAACTTGGCGTCTGCGCCAACTGATATCATTGTCTTGTTTGTTGAGTCCACGGCAAGCCCAGCTACAGCGTAGCCACTGTGGCAGGCCAGCTTGAGCTTCGCCTGCCGTCGTTGTTCCACTAGGGCTTCTTGCACCGCATCCTGATCACGCTTGTCAAGATTAGAAGCACGATTGCTGATTTTCATTTTTTTCTCGAGCGATTTCATGGTCCGCTTGACATCACCAGGTTGCAAACGTTTGCGTTTGAATCCATCGCCATCGTCGCCTTCTCCGGCATCCCGAGGATACGAGCCCCGAGGGTTTCCACTCTGGACATTGTATTTGTAAATGACGCCACCTTTGGTCCCCACCACGGCAAAGTTTCCACAAGCCGACATGGCTATAGACACGGCATGAGTGGACGGTGGGGGAGGAGCCTTCATGGCACTAACATTCCAATCTGTTTGTCGCAAGACAGGTCCCCATTGTGCGCCTCGTTTGGTGCTCCACACATATGCAATGGAATGCTGCTCGTGAATCGTGACGAGGTCACCCCAGTCTCGAGATCGAGCCTCGCTCATGGCCATGCCCGTCAGGCGTGGCAACAATAATTCGGCGGTGGAATCCATTCCTAATTTCTTGGCTCTCTTCTCCAAACCTTTTCCCTGACTGTACTCTTTATCCAAGACGGTCCTGGCGGTGGAAAACACTCGGAGCGTTCTGTCGGTAGATCCCGAGGACAAGATTTGGCAGGCGGACGCATCGGTACCATCGGACATGTTGACCATGATTCCTCCCCCCGCTGCCGCTCCGGGATGCAAGTATTCTATTTTGGCGGGTGCTGCCGTGTGTCCCTTTCGTTGTCGCAGAATCCTCCCGGAATGATCCGGATTGTCAAAAATGTGCATCAGGACCGAGTTGGAGTGCTTGCCGATGGAAACCAGCAAAGGTTCTTGCGGCAAGAACATGAGTTTGGATATGCCTCCCAGATGAACGTTATACATTTCGGTAAGGATAGTTCGTTCCTTTTTGCTGTTGCTTCTTTCGTCGTCCTCATCATCTTCGTCATCGGGCGGATTGAGATTCCAAACGGTAATGGAACCATCGGATCGTCCCACCGCCATGGGTGCAATCCCATAATTCATGGCGGATCCATCCGTCCGAAACGAAATGGAAGTGATGCTCACCGGTTTGCTGGATCCATCCCGAGGCTTGTGCATGAGAGTAAAGAGTGTTTTATCGTGTCTCAGATTGATCAAGTGGACTTTGCCTCCATCGGTTCCCACCGCCACTGTATCCACGGCCGGTGACTGTTCCAGTGTAGTCACGGTAGTATCCTTGCGTTTCACGGCAGTTAGTTTTTTGGATTTTCCAATGCATTTAAAGACATGGACGACCTTGCCACTTCGAATATTGAGCAGGGATAAAGCGGGTGCCCGTTGATTATCGTCATCATTGCCAATGGTGTATCCTCCCATGACAATTTTGTTGACGTAGGTGGAAGGATGCATGGCCACTTGTGGTACAAAGTCTGGTTGGGTGGTGAGAGAAATTCGTTTGTGTAGTTTCAAAGAATCTCTTGTGGCAAAATAAATGACAACCTGACAGTGACAGTTGGGAGAGGATGTATCATTCGATGATTGGCTGTCACTGTCTCCTTCACTGCTGTCACTATCATCATCACTGCTGTCTCCCACAACATCCACACCTTGATCCTGGTTAGGGTTGTTGTTGTTATTGCTATTGGTGGTGTGATGCCTGCTGAGAATGGCTGCAATAATGGCGGCATTTTCCATTTTCCCCTCTTTTTCTCCCTTCATGGGCACTTTGGTCCGTCCCAAGTGCAGTAGATCTACAATGTTCCAAGTTTGTTGGTGCTGTACAGGTAGAGTCTGTAACGGTCTTGTTCGACTGTAGAGTGTGATGAGTTGTGCATGTTGCTTGGGTCCATGTGCGACGGCACTGATACTGAGAGTGGCATCCGATACCATGTGCGCAATATGCTGTGGTTTTTGTGTTTTCTTCTTTTTGTTGTGGGAGTTGTTGTGTATTGCAGGTACTTTTTGACTGACCAGAACCGGCTGCAACTTGTCGCATTGTAGAATATGGAATCGTTCTCCAATGGGAAGACATAGCATTGCCGAAGCGGAGTTTTGGTGTGGCATGAGATAAAAGGGTGTTCCACTGGAGACAATCCCTACAGTTCGATAGGGAGCGAATAAGCGGGACATTTCTGCTTTGGACTCATTGTCAGTACATGTAGATTTCTTGGTTAGGACCATTTTGTTGGTAGGAGTGTCAGCCTTGGGGATACCCACTTCCCATTCATCTTGAGTATCATTATCATCATCAGAGGAGACTGGCTGAGGAGCCTCTTTCTCATCATTCTCCACTGCTGTTGCCATCTTTTTCTTGGCCTTCTTACTAGAACTGGAATTGCTAGCACTAGAAGGAGATCTCTTTTGCGGTTTTGGTGATACCATGGCTTGGATCGATTTGTCTGGAAGAAAAGACCACAACGGCGAAACTAGAAAAATGAGTTGTAGCCTTGATTCTTGGTTGGCTATTATTGTCTTCGTTGTACAGCTGTACCATTGCGCACAGTCGCGCGATATATCTTTTGGACAACTCAAATCAAGCTTCTGCGTCACTCAAAGATCTTTTATTAAACAGCTCAACGGAAGCCCATGCATCCAAGCATCCAAGCAAATGCCAAGATTGCTTGACCACAGTTTGGCATTTGGCATCATCACAACAGCACAACAGCCTTCCCCACTCCCACTCTTGGTGGTTCACCTGACCTGACCATTGACGAAGCAGACTTCCACCTGTCATAGCACATTGGCGCCGATATCCCGTCTCATTATCCAAAAGGCTGTTAGGCAAAAGGCAAAGCGAAGCCATCTTTTGCTAGCTACGGGTAGCTTCCGGATACCCCACAAAAAACACAACCACTGGGGCCCAACAGTACAGTATAGCTTTCAAGGAAGGAAGAGTATTATCAGCATCTATCTGTAAACCTATCCATTATCTATCTTTCCTTATCCATCCAACTAATAAGGACAACCAGAACCAAATACATCTAGTCGCAAACAATTTATTTGATATCAAAATCGATTCAAGCCATGCCAGGTCCAGGAGAACACCGAGGCAGCCAGTTGGAACTGGAAATGGTCCATGCCGCGGGACGCCCAGGTTCGGACGAAGAAGACCACGCAGATGCCCCCCTCTCCAAAAAGGCAAGGGGCAACACTCCCAACAACAAGAAAAAGCCTCGGACGTATATTTCCCGTCTCGTCGTGACCTTCCAGGAGTGTCTCAATCAGTTGGGTGCCAAGGATGTCACCGACGCCAAACTAGAATCCATGTCGGTCATCATTCATGAATGCATGTCCAGTGGAAGTCGCAACTATCACTCCGTCCAACACGTATTCGATATCTCCAAGAATATCACGGATCCCATTGGCATCATTGCCGCTCTGTTTCATGATTGTATCTACTACAATGTCGATGGGGGACTCTCGCCACTTCAAATGGAAATGCTAGAGGGGGTCTTTAACGAAGAAGGCGATGATGATGACAACGACAACAACAACAAGTTATCCCGGGATTCAGTCACATCGGTCGGGTCTGTCACGGTCACAAACCCCTATCGACGCAAAAATCAGGAAAAAAAGAAAAAACACGATCAGTGGTGCATTGCCCACAGAGATGACGAAGATCCACTCTTATCCATGGTGGAAGCCATCTTTGGATACCCAAAAGGATCCGAAATCACCACGAAGAATGGAATCAACGAATTCCTATCGGCCGTTGTGGCCGTCCGACAGCTAGAGCATCATCTCAACTCCGAACAGCTCTCCCAAATTGTCTGTTGCATTGAAGCTACCATTCCATTTAACAACTCCGACAAGGAACACCCGGACAACACGGCACACATGGAACGACTCTACAAGAACACGGTCGAAACCAAACAGCACTGTAAACTCAAATTGACCGACGAAGAATGTGTCAAGGCAGTGCAACTGGCTGCTACCCTGGCCAATGAAGATATTGGCAATTTTGGAACCTCGGATCGATACTGGTTCCTTGATAATACTTGGAGTTTGCTACCCGAAACAAACACTTCCTTGCGTCAACAGTTCCTTTACACCATTATGGAATACCAAAAGGCCGTCTTCAACATGAACGGATTCTTCAACTTTCTCGATCCCAACGTCATCTTTTCCGCCTTTCGAGGAGTTCCCGAACCAAAGGTCGTGGCCGACTGGACCGATCAGGCACGACGCAATCTCGAATTGGGACGCAAATACGTGGGGGCCAAGTTGCTCAGTGCCAGTGTCTTGGCGGCTTTTGCTCAACTCACCGGTGGAGATGCCCCCATGTGTTTGCTCATGGGCGATTTGCCATCGCGACATCACAATTCACAAAAATTGGAAGATTCCTTGCCCATTCAAAATGCCGAAAATGTCCAAGAGTTGGGACACTGCGATATGGACGTATACAACATTCTCAGTGGTGGAAGGCGATCGGAATCTTCTTTTGATACCAAACAATCGCCACTGGCAGCCTACCTCTATGCCAAATTGGGAGATGTCAAGCTCACTAAGTTGCTCAAGAACAACACCATGCATCCCATGGACGACGATGACAATGCACGCAACTTGTTGATTAGTTTGCCACGAGAATCCACCGAATTCTTGGCGCGAATCATGGCTACCATTGCCGTGTCGCGGGCTGGAGCCATTCATCGATTGTTGGAAGATCTTGCCAAGAGCGACAGTGATGAAAAGGAAAACGGCGGCAACAACAAAAATGGACAATAAGAATAAAACGACAAAAAACAAAACAAAACGACAACAATTTTACGAGGGAGGGTGGATATGGAATTTCTGGAGCTGATGATCCTGGCCTCCCTCTTGCAACTCCGGAGGTTAATCATAGAAGATGACCAGGGATCATCGCTTCGTTTGGATGTTTGGACAACTAGCTTGAATGGCAACACAACACACGAGGAGGAAGCGGGATTGGGGAGGGGCTTACTACAACATACTGGAAGGGAAAGAAAGCAACCAATCTTGAATTACTACATACACACACCATGTGCATGTTAAAATCAGATCATCTTTATTCTTTATATAGTTTTCTTCCGCTGAGGCATTGCTTGCTTTTGGTCGCTCTTGAGCAGTCGAACAACTTGGGAGCTAGCAGCCACTGGAGGCACTGCATTTGTTTATGACAACATCATAACTTCTACTGCGACACAATACTTGTGCTCAACTAACAGTCTATCCATTTCCAAATGTTAGTTAGTCAGCCTGATGGAACTCCAATGACTGTCCCCACCAAGCTTCTCTCTTGCGCTGCCCTTGTAAATGGGCGATAGGAGTAATACTTGGGTCGGTCATCGAAGCGAAAGTGAAGCCAAGGAACCCCCTCTCCCTGCGTGGATAGCCACACCGGTCTGGCTGGATCTCTGGTTTGCAACATGTGCAAGTAGGTGGATGCAACGTGTTTCCATGTCCCTGCCACTTGTTCCTTGGGAGCTCCTCGTACAAATGCTGCCAAATGGGAGTACGTGACGTCGTTGGTATTTGGTTTATGGAGAGGAGCAACGAGTTGAGCATCTCCCCCTAAATTTGTGAATTGACAGGCATCTCGAGTCGGTGGACACTTGCGGAGGTGTTCGTCAAAGGCGGAGGAACTCGCTTGAGAAGTGGCAAACTGTGCCAGATTCCGTGCCTCTATAATGCATAGTTGCATGGTTTGGTGTTCTGCAGTTTGGGAGGTGACCCCGGGTGTCTCGAAAAAGACTCCTGGAAATCCAGAGCTGTCAATGAGATAGGACAATTCCTGTGCTAACGTCGACGAAGGTGAGCTGGCTGCCATGGATTGTGTCCATGTCATGACGGAAATGGGTTGGTTGGTGTGGATATCCTGAGCCTCATAGAGCAAGAACTTGTATCCTGCCTCTGTCGTCCCCTCGTTTGTCTTTCGGTAGACTATAGATTCTGTCATAGCTCTGTTAAAAGTATCAGTATCAGAAGTTGGGTCCTTGGTTTTCTTTGTTTCTATGGAGGAGTTGGATTTGGTGGGATTGTAAACGAGCAGCTGGTACCCAAAGAAACATGCCACGATACAAGCAAGAAAACCAAACTCAAAACCAGTCAAGGCTCTCCTTCGACAGCGATCAAGGAAACCTTCACCAGGAGTAGAAGAAACTGAAACGTTCTTTCTGGATGTACTAGTACCAGTATGGGGATGGGCAGGTTGCAATCTCGATGGTCTCATGGCCGCCATTGTGGGGGAAGGAGAACCAACGGCCACGGCAATGTTGTGGACAAAAAAGAGGAAAACACCTTTGCACTTTGACAGCTCGCGCTGGCTTATATAAATACTGGACCAAGACCCCACCAAAGGAAACATCATGAGGCAATGACGACAATGAAGGTATCCTATTTGCTACTACAAATAATAGTCTCCCACTTTGCCATTTACGCTTCAGATGCCTTTTATCACAACCACTGTAATCGGCGACGAGTCCGTCCTCAGTTTCAGTTGGATGATTGCTACTTGCCTCCCTTGGATACCTCCTTAACCCTGTCGGAGGCCTCCTTTTTGATGAGCCATGATTCGGCTACTGGGTATATCAAACGAGGTAGCTTGAGTGCCTCAGGTTTGACTTGGCGCTACAGCAAGAATCAAGTGGGAACCGTCTATCAACAATTGGAAGATGGAGCCAGAGCCTTGGACTTGCGTCCCAAGTTACTCGCCAATGGAACTGTCATATTTCAACACGGAAGCATTAACATTCCAGTCCTCTTTCAAAGTCTGGTAGCAGATGCCGTCCAATGGTGTGGAGATAACCCAGACGAACTGGTATTGATTCTTTCCTCGGATTTTGCCTATCAAACATCCAGTCTCTATGATGACGACGACGACTTTTATGCAGACGAACAAGACGACACGCCCCGCATTGTCACGGCCATGTCCAAAATCTACGACACTCTGGGAGTCACCTACTTGCACTGCAATGAAGTCTACGGTTTGACCATTGCTGAGATTATGGAACTGACGCAGCTACTCAATGGTGGATATCTATTGGCCCTGGATGGCCAAGATTACTATGGCACACCCTGTGCCAAACCCAACTGGGTGGAAAGTCAACTGGTGGGATGCTACTCCCAAACTCTTTCCTGTGTCCGCCACGACACTGTCCAATTCAATGCCTTGACGAGTTACATACTCGCCAGTGCCAACAACGAGCCCACAAATGACAGATCTGTCTTGGGCCCTCCAGCTAACCTGGTCAACTTTCCACTCAACGAAGTCCAAGCACTGTGGCAAGTCACGGCCGCTTCCGCCGTGATTGGGACGGCCCACTCGTCCTCCATTCTACACGACAATGAAAAGTCCGACATCAACGAGTACGTGATGAATATGGTATATCAAGGACAACTACTGGATGCCGTCTCGGTCTTGGCCGTGGACAATGTCGCAAAGAATGGCAATGCCCTTCTCTCCGTGCTACGGACTGCGTGTGGACAATCGTCCGATCTGACAGCAGAGTCCTGTGGACTGGCTATTGACAAACCCAAACTGTCATACTTTCGTTTTTCCAAACTCGGGTTTGCCATGCTAGTATCCGTCTATGTACTGATTGTACTCTGGATTGGTGCCACTGTCGTTGTGGCAATCCAAGACGAGGAAACAAACTGGCATCCCAGACTGTTTTACACCATCTTTCAGCGATTGTCGGATAAGATCCACGCAAGGTCCACTGTTTCTGCTGACGATACATGTAACACTAGTACTGGTAAAACAGAGCAACTACTCTAAGAAGGGAAATATATCGTTTTTATCATTAGTTGTACAACAAGAACATAGCTTGGCAAGCAAGCTAGACTGGAATAGTTTGGAACTGGACTATGCAACCCAGACGGCTAGTGCCGTTTCATCACTTCGTTGGGTAGACGACTGATCTTCCGATCCGTCAACCATTCTCTGAGCAGCCACTACCCCTTGAATGGCATCTACCAAGGCTGCTGGATCCTTGACAGATACCAACACTTCTCGGTTCCAACTATCCTTTTCGCGAATCATTCGGACATGACTGGAAAAGGCCGTTGTGAACTTGCAGAAGATCTCCAGCATGGCCGAGGGAGGCACTTCTTCGGCTTGGATAATCTGGAAGCGAAATAGGACCAGTCCAAACCAATTTCGGACGCGGACTTGGCCATTGGCGAGCACCAAGTATTTGGAAGGCATAATGGAGGAATACAGAGTGGCCATGAAGAGACTGATGCACAGCAGGCACACCACTCCAACAGCATCGGTGTAGCCCAAAGCGCCTTGAATTATCCCCCACAACAAAAACATGGAGGGCACCATGATCAGCAGTGATGCAATGATCGGACTGTACTTGACATCCGCCGCGTAGATCACGTTCTCTGATACTCGTGCTTGTCTGATGCTCGTGCTTTGCTTCACTTCAGCATTTGTCGCTTCTATAGGTATGTGAGCCGGAGGTGGGATAGGAGAGGGTATCGGTAGTGCTACTGGTACTGCCATGATACTATCGTCGTCTTCTTTTGAACAGGGTGTCGATTTTGTGCCAAGCTAATAACAGTGCTTGGAGCAAAACCAAAATCGAAGAGGGATGCGGCATGCGCCAGATGGCAATACCACGTGGCTGGAACGGTACTCTGGAGTACTGCCGGTACTCTAGAGTACTACTACTCGTGCACTACTATGAGGACCACTCATACGGTAGCTAATACAGTACCAGTACTCCAGTAGTAGTTGCGCTACCGTACCGTACAGCGTACAGTACACGAGCTGCTACATGAATGTGCTGCGGTATTTCGTATTTCGTACATTTACTAGCTAGTATTTTAAAATAGTACTGATACCCCATCAGCTGAACCATCCCTGCTGATTGAAGATAGAAGGCGGAAGGTGACAAAAGTTGTACACGTGTACATGTCCTTTATCGCGTTAATCGATTGTGCAAAGACTACAATAAGTAAAACTGATTCAAGAGTCATTTTGAATGGATTTCAATGATGGATTTAATTGAAGGAAAGTCTCATTAATTCCTTTTCATACTGAGTTTTTATTCACTTATTCACTTTGCCCAAAAGGGTCATCATTTTGATTTCTGTTAACGATTGGGATCGTGGCAGGGCAATTGGTTCGACATGGTGCTTAATCCATATTCATGCCATTTCTATCACGGGAGCTCTTCGGATATAACAATGCCCATGTTTCGCTATTGACCACGCGTTGTGTCAAATTTGGCAACCGGCGGAACCAGGCGGAACAGGCGGAACGGGGAACCAACAACCAACCATTGAAGCTTGAACCTTGCCTTGACACTTGACACATACATCCTGACGCGTTTTCTACTAGCTATTTTAAATAGCGACCAGTACTGGTAACTGGTACCTGGTAGCTAGCTAGTTATTGGCCGCCTGTATTGCCGCTTCCCGCGGGTGATATCACTTTCCACGGTGAGCGTGTTTTACAGGAGTACCGATTGTACCGATACCGGTACCAGTACCGTCCTCCTTTGGCTTTCCTCACTCCTCAGGTGCGGTCCTAACCACCTATTTATACCTCTTTATTCCTCCGTACGTACGCGAAATCAAGATAACTGTTAAAGTTGGCTGGCTTTCCCACTTTTTGCCCATTAATTTCGGTACGCCGTATCAGTAATTTTGCATTCTCAATTTGCCGTACCGAAATTATGAGGGAAAAAGAATTCGCGTAGGACCAATCAGAACGTTAGAGCCAGCCGAACTCAATCACGGTCACAAACACTAACTCTAATAAGCAATTGGCCATCTGTTAGCTGTTCGAAATCGACACCGGTGTTAAGACTTCCGGTACACCGGTAGCTAGTACACGTGTACTCCTCTGTTCCAAGAAGTTCTTTTTGGCTCGCCCTGCTCGGCATATTCGGCGTACGGCGTATGTGTGTCACATGGATAGGAATGAAATCTTGATACGTATGCCTAAATAAATCGATGAAAATAAATGTGTTTCGCGTATGCACGGAGGACACACATGGAGTTTGGATAGGACCTCGCCTCAGGATCGTTCCTAACCAGCCATTTTGACCTCTTTATTCCTCGGTACGTACGTGAAATCAAGATAACGGCAAAAAGCGGCTTGCTTTCTCTCCATTTCCATGGAAGCTGCGGTACGGCGTATCATTGATTTCCCATTCTCAATTCGCCGTACCGCAGCTTTCGTGGAAATGGATTTCGCGTAGGACCAATCAGAACGTTAGAGCCAGCCGAACTCAGTCAACGTCACAAATCGCCAACTCTAATGAACTAGTTTGACCACGTTCGACTCGTTAGCTAATAGCTAGCTATTAGCTACTAGCTAGCTACCAACAAACCAATCTTCACAACCAAGAAGGCTAGCAAAGTTATTAGCATGTAGGTTACTCTCGGTTAATGGCTTGGTTGTTAACCTTCTTGGTTGTCGAGATTGGTTTGTTGGTACTCTAGTAGCTACGGTGGCTTCGATCGAACGCTCCATCGACCACCACGGTACTAGTACACGTGTACTTTTCGATTTTCATTTTCGTTAGAGTTGGGGATTGGAGGTGATGTTTCTTTGGCGTACGGCGTACAGTGTATGTGTGTCACATGGGTAGGAAAGAAATCTTGATACGTACGCCTAAATAAATCGGTCAGTCATCCAACGAATGGCAACCCACGAGATTCTATCAAAGAACAATCATATGCGATTTTCACGAGTTTTCCTGACGTACGGTGATTGCGTTTTGGCAGAATCTGAGTTGGGGATTCGAGGTGGTTCGTGTTCGCCTGCATACCACTGTATGTGGATAGGAATGAAATCTTGATTCGTACAACTAAATAAATCGACGAAAATAAATGTGTTTCACGAATGCACGGAGGACACACATGGAGAATGGATAGGACCTCGCCTGAGGTGAGCAGCCCCGTATTAAGCAAGAAGCGCCATTGTGTATCAGTTTTAAAGAGTGAGTTTATTGAATGGCGGTGAGCCACCTTTAGCGATAAGCCTGCAGGCTGTCTATGTATCGATCCGAACGCTAACACCCCCCTGGATTGCATATCATTAGACAGGCGTGCGTGGGGCCATGAGGCAGGCGCGGAGATCAAAGAAATGTTGCTTGTCCTTCATTTCCTTGGTAAAGAGATCGGAAGGATTGAGAACACCGGGGATGTGATGGAGCGAAATTTCACCAAGGCGTAGAGAATCGCGCACAGCTACCTCTCGGAGGTTGTGGTGACGGAGGCGTTTGGTGACAGCCTCGGACTGTGCCCAGGCAATACCCCCCTGGTTATCACAGAACATGACGGGAGTGGGTTCGGCAAGGTGGGAGACACCGAGATCTTCAAAAAGGTGACGGAGAGCCAGAACCATTTTGACTCCTTCGTCCATAGCCTTGATTTCGGATTCACAAACACTGCGGCTAACGCGTTTCTC